ATTGAAAGACCGTATTTTGTGAAATGTAAATTATACATCAATAAATAGATGCAATAATAGAAAGGTGTTTTTCCAATTATGGAATGACTGTCTATAGATTCTAACATCACAACACATGACTTTAATATAAAAGGGTAGTCCTACCTAATGAGGCATTTCAATATTAAATACTCCAAGATTAATATTATTATGCCAGAATTTGGTCTACTGGAAATGGAGAAAGTAATTATTGTGAAGTGGTTAGTGTCAAATTAGCATAGCTTATCTGAAAAGTAAAGTTGGCAGCTGAATATGGAGTGCAGAATGATGGTAAATAAAATTGCAACTGGAGAAGTTTACAGGGAAATTTAATTTCAGGCTCTCAGGTTTTAAAATGATGCCTCGCTTTTAATGCTAGATTTCCTTTCAAGACAGGCTTCTTGTTGACAAATCTCAAGCACATGAATTTGAGAGTCTGTGCCTCCAAATTTTTCCTCCTTGCTGAAAAATGGGTCATTGATTTATCATTAGCTGTTAGGTTGGATGGTGTTTCAGCAGCTGAGAAAAAAATGGATCATTGATTTATGTAATAGCCTTGGGCTCTGATGTTTTAATTACCCATGTTCTCTGTGAACAGTCAACCATATTGTTAACACCCAGACATCCTGTTTTGTGAAATACATATCTACTAATTTTGGTTTTTCTTAGCTCTGTTTTTTCCTACTGTCAAAAAGTAAGAATGATTATCATTACAATCAGCAATTACTAGAAAAACATTCTTCCCACATTTCTTACGCAATGTAACAGTATTCTGACCACATAAAAATCAAGAAGTAATAAAATTTCTTGCTACAATAAATATGTATTTGACATAATACTCAAAATTAGCATAGCTTTCAAAGTGTAGTCATTATGAAACTCTGATTTTTAAAACCGAGTGTTTACTGTCAGCATTGCTATTTTAAAATACCTTTACCTTGAGAAAATTGTGATCTAGTCTGATCTATTCAATCTTAAAAGCTAAAAACATAATAAATTTTAGGGAAGAGAATAATAGAGGATTTTATAGTGGTGCAGTAGAAATACATGTACAATAGTTTAAAAACAGAATAGTCAGTAATATTATCCTTTTGTGGTCATGTCATATGACATATAGGCAAGTACCTACATTGTATGCAATTACTTGGATACATACGTACAGATATCACATGTTTGAATATATGAATATGTACAAAAGATGGTAACTTTTGCTATCATTACCTTTTTAGATGACTGTAAATGTATTTGTCATGTATTATTATAAGGTTCTCTATTATTGTAAAAATTAGTACTTTCATTTTTTTTAATTAAGTAAACCAGAAAAAAAATCATTTGCTCAAGAGAAGGCATAACATACATGCATATGCAATTTTTTGTGTTAGCTGTATGATTATGTGATGTAGACACCTTTTAAGAATTCAGGGAACTAACCCACCATGGAGCTTTCATAAAGCCCTATTCTATGAAACCAGCAATATATTTTATCCTACTTTTAATTACATATTTTCTCCCATTGTTGCAATAAAAATGAACCTGTAGGTGTTAGATTTTTTTTATGATACTGGATTTAATGATCTACATACATGATATGTTCTATAGATTTTGATAAAAGAAAACAAAACAAAGGAAAAAACTAGGCTTAAATTCTCAAGACAGAATTGAACTCTTTTTTTTTAAGATTTATTTTTTTATTATTATTATTTTTTCATTGGAAAGGCAGATATACAGAGAGGAGAGACAGAGAGGAAGATCTTCCATCCGATGATTCACTCCCCAAGTGAGTGCCGATACTATGCTGATCCGAAGCCAGGAGCCTCTTCCAGGTCTCCCACGCGGGTGCAGGGTCCCAAAGCTTTGGGCCGTCCTCGACTGCTTTCCCAGGCCACAGGAAGGGAGCTGGAAGGGAAGCGGGGCTGCCGGGATTAAACCGGCGCCCATATGGGATCCCGGGCGTGCAAGGCGAGGACCTTAACCACTTGCGCCACTGCGCCGGGCCCCAGAATTGAACTCTTAGAAAGATGGTGATCAGGGAATGTAGAGTGAAAAGAAACGAGTAAATATTGTTCAAAGTGTACACATTGCATTTACAAGATGAATACATTCTGGACAGTGGATGTGTAGCCACTTAATGTATATTTCAAATTTCTTAAGAGACAGATATTAAATATATGGATATGATCATTAGGTCAGCTCTGGAAAGCATTTTGTAATGCACACATATTTCAAAAGAGCACCTTTGAAGTACATTTAAAATTTTTTTTAGTTCTACCTAATAAAACTGCACCAGCAGTGAAAAGGAAATGGTGAGACAAAAAAGTTTACAACTCTTACAGATATTACTTTTATGGGCAAAAATCTAGCTGAGTTTTCCATTTATCAAGTTAAGACATATTGATCATGGTAAAACTCAAATAATTTGATGTAGATATAAAGTAAGTGTAACTTTCATGATTGACAAATAGAAGGTTCTTTACCTCTTCAGAAATTCTATTGAAAAATATCACACGAACAATAAATTTTGGTAAAATAATGCCATCATTTTTAAAAAAAATTTTAGATAATGTTAACATAGTTGATCAGGGTGGGATGAATCAAGGCTAGGGAAAAGTAGATATGATCATTGTTTTCAAATTTTCTATTTCTACTTTATGCTTCTGGTGGGTGGGGGAGGATAAGGGGAGAAGTCATATCCAGCTTCCCAACTACCTTGGTTACCAGGGATGGGCAATGGACACCCAATATCAACCCAGGGTCCTAATGTGGTACATGTTCTGAGGATCTGCCCAGGTGGATGCATAGGATTTGAAATGTCGATTTTTGCTGATCCAAGGAAGAGAAAACCCTTTCAATTCCCATTGGCAGACATGGTCAATCTTAGAGTCTCCATTTGTTCAGATATTTGCTGTCAATGCTTGGCTGGGGTAGTTGTCCAGTTTGTTCTGCCTTTCTTCCTCTGGAACGGTACAGAAGTCTTCTGCAGACCTCAATAAGCTACCATATCCTCCATGTGGATCTAGGCCAGCTGCTCACTTCTCTATCTTTTCCACTGGGGAGAACTAGTTCTTGTAGCATGAGCCACCTCTGGGGCTCACGGACCTGGCACCCACCAGGTGGGTAGGCCAAGGACCTGGGACAAGTGACCCAAGGCCCTGATAAACTCCCTGCCCCCTGAACTCACACACCTGGCACCTACTACACAGGCAGGCCTAAGGACCTGGGCAAGGTGAACCAGGCTGTGCAGGATCCTGCCTGCAGGACTCACGGACCCAGCACCTACATCCCCGAGACTGACATGGCTTACCTCACCTCGGCACCCACCAGCGGGTGCTGCAGCCTGGTTCAGTCCAGCTTGCCCCTGGTTCTAGCTCATGCTGGGGTGCTGCAGCCTAGCCAGGCCCAGCCAGCCCCCAGTCCCAGCCCTAATGTGAACTGGCTGATGTTGAGGCTCAATCAAGCCCTTCCTGGACCCTGTCCTGGTTCTCTGATCTGCGAGTGGGTGTTATAACCTGACCTAGCCTGGCCTGCCCCCAGACTTAACCCACATGTATGCTGCTGGGTACTGTAACCTGGGCTGGTCTGAACTTCTCCCAATCTTGGTTCTTGTGCTCACCTGCAAGGTCTAAGTCTTAAAGGAGTTTCCCAAGCTCCTCTACCAGGTCTCCTCTCAATACAGATTTCATGCACACTGGAGGATCAGGTAGACTTTGCCCACCTCTTGCCCTGGTAGGAACAGTGTCCTTGCCAATCAGCCCACACTTTATTGTTCTTATCGTTCTTATTGTTGGGGCTACCGCCCAGCCACACATGGTCCACACCCAGACACACTTCTCCTGTGTTCAGCGGGAGCCAAGACCTAGTCTAGCCCATTCTATGCCCACGCTGGACCTCATGAGTGCCAATGGGTGCTGGAGTCTAGCCCAGTTTAATGTACCCCAGATCCAGTCACCCTTCCCTCAACCCACCACCTAGGGAGACTGCAGCCATTTCCATCCCAGCCCATTGCTCCCATTCCAACTCTCAAGCTCAACAGTGGGATCCCCAACCCAGCTTGGCCAATCCTTTAGCTCCCCAACTAGACTTGTTCCCAGAAACAGATGTTGTGCATGCCAACAGAGATTGTTGTTTCACAGGGGAAAGCACCATATGCCCCCAACAGATTTAGCCTCCAAACCTGATTCACTCATGTGCTGCTCGGTGTCATGGCCCAGCCACACATTACCCATTCTGTTCTGACTCTCACTGGCGGGCACCATGATTCAGCCCTTTTAGGAAGGCCCCCACCATAGCCTCAGTGTGTACCTGTGAGTGGTATTTGGTGATGGTCACTGCTAATTATTCCAGCTCAGGTTTCCCATGTGAGCTGGTACTTTGGTCTGACCCTTAAAGGTTCTGCTGTTCTCTGCTACTCCAAACTCAGTCTCAGCCCCCTTGCTTACCAGCTAGAACATGGCCACATCCATAGAAGTTCCTTGGAAGTCATTCCTCACCTGAACATTAACCCTCAGGTCCATACTTATCTACATCTGTGCCATCCCCCAGACCCATTATAGGTCCACACCCCCAAATGCCCAGAACTTGCTACCAGCAGGCCTGAGGACTTCACCCAGCACCATTGGAGCCCTGGCCACCTGAACCAAGATCCCAGCTACATCTTGGCAGTTTGTGGGGTGGAAATCGTGAGTTGTGAGCCTAACTTGCCTTCCATGCTGCCAAGCACAACTAATCAGCCGGTGGGGGTAGAAATCCCAGTTGGCACCCATCATCTTGTTTTTAACTACTAGGTCATTTATTTAGAATGAAGAATTCGTTTCCCAGAGTTTTTGCCAGCAACTTTCCCTCTCTTAGTACGTGTATATGTACATATAGTATGTATATATATGTGTGTGTATGTATATATATACATATATATGTACACTTCATATATATATATATATATATATATATATATATATATATATAAAGCCTGGCTTCTAGGATTTTCCTGCAGTATGCATCTTGAAATTTTCATCCCACTTAAGGGCTTGGGGTACAGAGAACTTGATAATATTTGGGAAATTTAGGAAGTCTTCTTGAATGCTTCTTTGACATCTATAAGAAAACTAGAACAACTTCACAGTCAGAAAATAGGTTGTTAAGTGTCCAGACTCCAGTTCCCAGTGGTTTTCCTCACTTGAGAATTAGGACTGGGGGTAAAATCATTTTCAATGTCAATCAATGAATTTGTTCTAGCCGGATCCTGGCTCTATTCTCACTGCAGAATCTAACAACCTATCATTTCTCTGCAGAGACTCCCGGGAGCTGCTGGAATATCTACAGAGCTACTAAGTGTTAGCCAGCGGTCTAAGGGTTAGGGCTGTCAAACCACATTTGTGAGCAGCTGCATCTAAGGAGGATATTACACTCCTTTCTGGAACACAATTGGCAGAGCTGGTGATGGCCTGTGGATCAGGGCTCCTGTTGCCTCTGCTGCTGGGGCAACTGTGCTCTCAGTTTCCAGGAACCTCTGGGGCTAGTATGCAGCACCACAGGGATCTGCAGAAAGACAATGGCAGCTGGGGACTGGAAGGAACACAGGAAAATGGTTCAGTGGTGTCTACTCACACACTCCTCTTCTCTCTGGATTACCAGCATGTGCAGATTCCTTTTGAGATCACACTCTGGATCATGTTAGCCTCTCTGGCAAAGATAGGTAAGTAAGAGGGGTTCTCAAGCTTTTACCTAAGGTTGCTTAATAGTAGAGTTTGCTTTCAGACTTTTCTAGATGTTAAGAAAGGAAAGTTTTGCTTAAAAGACCAGAGGAAGATGAGGTGGAGCATTTTTCTCATTCTGTCTCCCAAAGAAATATTTTTTTTCCATAGCAAAAATATCTCTTTCCAATGATTATACTAATATGTTGTAGTCTCCTGGCAGGAAATGGAAATAGGCCCAGCAGATTAATTTGGTTGGTGAAGGTCCCAGTTGCTCAAGGGTTGGGAGAAGGTATTTAAGTATATCTTTAGAAACAAAGAAAAAGATATTGCTATATTGAACAAACTTATCTGAGTTTTTAGACAGCCTTCCTTGATCCCCAGTAAAGTTTCTTTGTTTACCAAGGAATTGGGAAAGTGGGAAAAGTACATTTATTATTTTTAAAGTTAGTGAATTTTGGACACCACCGAGAATTTAAGGGGGAAAGGGTTGCAGGCTAGAGAGAGTGTGAATAACGGGTGCCAGAATACAATTAGGTGGAAGAAATAAGTACTAGTGGAGTATAGCACTGTAAAGTGACTACAGTTCAAAATAATCTGTTAGATATCTTATGAAGAATTAGAATAGGGAAAGATGAAAATTTGCAACACAAATGACAAATATTTAAGGAACTGGATGTGCTATTTAATCCTGAATTGACCATTACATATTGCACGCAGACATCAAATTATCACACTCTGCACCCAATAAACAAGCACAATAAAACTACCAATGAAAAAAAAGAATTTAAAGGAAATGCAACCCAAGAATAAATCCAGCAAGTGGGAAAAAAGAATGGCGATGTTTTAGCATTTAAGCTTATATGAACTCTCCGCATTAGTCATGTTATGGCTCTCCTAAGGAGAGTTATTCCGTTATTCCTTTTGTGTTCTTTAATAATTTATCTGGCTTTTTGCCTTGGAGACACTACAGTTATAAGTCCTTTGACAGTTCCCAGTGTTTATTATTCAGTGACCATTTTTGTGTGCTGAGAATCAAAAGTAATACCAGGCAAGCATGGAAGGATCTGTAGAATTTTGTTGCTTTGAAATGAATTATTACTTTTAAATAAATCATGGTTAGCACTCCAAAGTTTAATTTAAGGGACTTAATCAACATTATGGCTTTAGTAATAAAGAAATGCATTACTTAATGATAATATGTAGAATATTCGTAGGTTCACAATGTGATAGATGATCAGACTTGGAAAACCCCTTAGAGATCATTGCTATCCAACCATCTCATGTTAATCCATTCTCTTATAGACAGGATAGCTGAGGCCTAGGAAGAAAAGATGCTTTTTCATATTCTTAAACCAGAACTTGGATGCTAGTCTCTTGCCTCCTTGATCATAAGCACATCTTGTTTTGGATAATAATTAATGCATGTGAATAACATTCTTATTTTTTTTGCTACACTAGATATATTGATTAGAATAAATAGATACCCAAACCAGGATAATAGGGCAAAAGGGACCCAATTACTATTTGTTTAAACAGGATTATATTGAGCCATCACTGGTAGATAAGTTTTTGTTATGAAGAGGAAAGAATGTTAGTTAACAGTAATTTCTCATTAGCATTCATCCATTTACTTAGTAAATATTCTCTGGGGATATTTTAGATGTAGCTAATTATGGGCTCATGAACTGAAACAGACAAATTTTCCTATGAAGATGCTTCAAATTATTTCAGTTCTTCAAAGAAAAAAGTTATTTTGTAGGATTTGAGGAAGAAAGCAGTATTGTGAGGTGGAAATAACAAATTACTTTGACTTATATTAATATTTTTGCAAAATTAGCAGGTAGTACCTACCACATGGCGGGCAATTAATAAGAATATATCAGATGAGTGAAATGCTTCTTTTTCTTGACTTTTATTGTTGATAAAAAGGGAATAGCAGTACTTGCTTTGTTGCTATGATGAGATCATCGAATTAAAAACACAAGGGTACTTTTAAAAGTTCATGGGAAATGGAATTAAAAGCATTTTGAGAGGGTGAAAAACCTTGAAATTTATGCAGTTTTCCCCCTGAAATCCATTTCCATAAGTTTTTGGAGACTACTTCTATGGTTAAGAGCACTCACTTCTTGCAGCTACTGAGAACGTGGAGTTCAGGAGCCAGATGGTTTTCTTTTCTGAAAATGTTGTTTATTACTTATTTGAAAAGTATCTGTTCAGATATTTTAATGTGGGAGCACTTGCTAAGGTGATACATGTAAAAATTAGCATCGGTGTACAAGAAGCTTGTCATCAAATTAATTAGCAGGTATATTAGAGAGGGATTTAAGTGGTGTATTGGCAGCAATTGAGTAACAAAGGGAATTGATTGGCCTAGATGGCCTCTGAGGTTGTTTCCACAGCAAAGAGAGAGCTCATGATAATTACAACCATTATCTGTAAGTTTTGAGTTAGCCAGAGCATGATAATGTACTATATAGCACAAGGCCAAGGTAAAAGCATACTGAGTAAAATACAAAACTACTGCCACATAGGTTGCTAGAAATGTCCGTTTTTCCCACATGGAAAAAAATATTCATGTATTTCTAAGAGAGGAGAACACACTTTCTGATTGTGATTGCATTTTCACAATCCAGTAGTATGAATTCATGTGAGCATAGGCTAAATGACAGCTGGAAATACTTTTAAGTCCACTGTGTAGGAGTCAAGAGATCTGGCTGGATTGTTAGGTCGATTCTGTCATGTACTTACTATGTAACAATGAAGAGTCACATTGCTTCTTTGATCTCTAGCTCTTTACAAATATTTTTTTATGTCTTATAAATGAGGAATGAGTTTTAACAATTATTGAAGCCCTTTTCAGTTCTTATAATTTGAGTCATGATTCTCAGTTACGTATTTTTTAGGCTAGTGATGTCTATTATTATGATCATAAGAGGAAAAGAATGCATTCATCTGATAAATGAATTGTTTGCGTTTTGAAATATGTGCACACATTTGCAAATGATTCAGTGAGCACGTGAATAATCTTGTTGTTGTTAACTGTGAATACTTTTATTCTGTTAGTAAATTTTTCCATTATAGAGACAAATGCCTCCATTCAGGCTTCTGCATCTGTAAGTCATTATTACGATGGAAAATGTGAAATGATTGAGACGCTATATTCCTGAAATCATGAAGCTTGACAAAAATATGGCACGTAGAGGTGATTGATAATAAAGACATTATAACATTTGGTCTATTTTCTCTTTTCCAGGATTTCACCTCTATAATAAGATGCCCACAGTTGTACCTGAGAGCTGTCTCTTGATATTTGTAGGTCTCATCATGGGAGGACTAATCTACAGTTTAAATGATAAATCCCCACCAGTCATGGATAGTGACATATTTTTCCTCTATTTGCTTCCACCAATAGTGCTTGAGGCAGGATATTTTATGCCAAGTCGGCCCTTTTTTGAGAACATAGGAACCATTCTGTTGTATGCAGTAGTTGGAACCATGTGGAATGCCTTTGGAATAGGCCTTTCCCTCTATGGCATATGCCAGGTAGAGTACTTCAACCTTCAAGACCTATCATTGCTCCATAACCTTTGGTTTGGTAGCCTGATTGCTGCAGTGGATCCTGTCGCTGTACTGTCTGTATTTGAAGAAATACATGTGAATGAAAAGCTTCATATTTTGGTATTTGGAGAATCTCTCCTTAATGATGCCGTTACTGTTGTAAGTATCTTAGGCATACAGATAACAGATTAAATTCCCTTAAGCCGACCCTTGCAATTTAGCTAAGAATGGAACTTGGTTAAGCCATGACTGAGCCAAATACCCATCCCTAGAAGTAAGTTTAAGAATGAAGCGACTCTGATTTTGCCATCACTGATGTTTTCAGAAAATGACAATTCTTCTTTGATACCATTACTCTCTTATCAGCTGGATGATCTTTCTAAGATGCAATAGGCTTATTCATCACACTAGGATGAAAACCTTTTAACCAGGAAGAGTCTACAAAGCCCTTTAGGAAAATTTCATGTAAAGTCATGCGCAGTAGACAATGATTTGTGTTAATGGCATTTGATAATAGAGTAACTTTCCATGAAGATATGTTAGGGATGGGAATGGAGAGTTGTAGGGCTTCAAAATTGAGAAACTTCAAGTTAGAAGGATAGATAGGACATAATTCGGAGTCTTTTCTGATTGATGCATTTGTTCTAATCTTTTCTTGCAGGTTCTCTATAAATTGTTCAAATCTTTTTGTGAGATGCCATCTATCAAATTATTGGATGTTTTGGCTGCAATAGGAAAGTTTTTTTTGGTTGGAATAGGAGGAGTTTTCATCGGGTTCCTGTTTGGCATGTTTGCTGCCTTTACGACCCGCTTTACCAAGACAATCCGGGTCATTGAACCCCTCTTCGTCTTCTTGTATAGTTATCTCTCCTACCTGACAGCTGAAATGTTCCATCTTTCAGGAATTGTGGCGTAAGTATGTAGACAAATCTTTGATTTGAATGTTTTTTTTTTTTTTAAATGAACTAAGTCTGATTTTCCACTGGGAATCTAGGAAATTACATCTTCTAAGTCTTACAGGTGAACCCTGCCTTTATGCTCTATTAGGATTTTCTATTACTACAAATAGAATCACGTACTCATAGTACTGCGAGATTTTGAGTTCCTTAAAGGGGTTAATTGGCTATATCTCAAATAACTTTAATGGAAGCGGAGCGAGGCAATACTACTCTCTCACTGCTTAGAAAAAATTCTAAGAGTTTGGCATTGGCTCATCTAGGCAAATTCTTTGTCTTTGCAGGGGACAATTATCCTAACAGGTTAGTGTGTTTGAGCACGATATCATTCCTGTGGTACAATGCCATATATAGAGTCTTGGCATTAATTGCTTTTATAGCAAAGAATTTTCTGCTATCACAAATGATTTTATGACTTCTTTTGTAAACCTTACACAACACGCTATGCTTTTTCTTTTTCCATCACAGCATGTTAACGTTAATATTAATTCCTCATGTCTAATAGTATACATGGGAAGGCTGAGTACTCACATGGTAAGATAAACAATAATCCCGTATGAATGTTTTTGCATTAGAATTTAGATAGGCTATTGTGTTTATTTAAAACATAATGCATGTGATTCATTAATTGTGATGACACAGGGGATTTTTGCTTTGTGAATTAAAAACTATTCAAAAGTTAAAAAAATAATGAAAAATAGTTTTTCAAATGTTGTAGGTTTGTTGGAGCTCAAAAGGCAAAAGAGAAGATGAAGGTTCAGAGAACTAGTACCTTTAAGTTACTCTAAGTACTGAAATGGTTCATGTCATGATACAGTCATTATAATTAGTCTGTTTTAGATGAAAATTGTCTCAGTTGAGAGCAAGGATTCTATCTGGGGCATGGTATACTGTGTCTTAATTTATTGAAAGCAAATTTGTGCTTTAAATTGTGTGATTATCATTGTCTATATTGCCTATTAATAAAGATAAGCCAAAAGAACCAAGAAAGAAATAGAATTAGAAAAAAACAATTTAGATTGATTTCTTCTAATCTCAGACATTGTCCAGAGCTTTGAAAATGTTATCCTTTAAGGGGCCTCCTTCTTTTGAACACTCTAGGGCTCTACAAAGATAAAAATAAAATAAAATTGGGCCCGGCACGATAGCGTAGAGGTTAAGGTCCTCACCTTGAATGCGCAAAGATCCCATATGGGTGCCAGTTCTAATCCCAGCAGCCCCACTTCCCATCCAGCTCCCTGCTTGTGGCCCAGAAAAGCAGTTGAGGACGGCCCAAGACTTTGGGACCCTGCACCCATGTGGGAGACCCAGAAGACGCTCCTGGCTTCGATTTGGCTCAGTGCCAGCCATTGCAGCCACTTGGGGAGTGAACCATGGATGAAGGATATTTCTCTCTGTCTCTCCTCTCTGTCTATCGCCTTTCCAATTAAAAAAAAATCCTTGAAAAGATTAAAATAAAATAAAATAAAACAAAGCAAAACTTGCCAACATTACAATGAGCCTATTGAGTTCTGAGAAAAGTGAAACTCAGGAAAAGCAATATTGTAAAATCTATTTGCATCCTCTCACAATCTCCTGATGCTTAAATTTCTTACAATTGTAGACCTTTCATTTTCATTTTCTGTTTTTTTTAAAGATTTATTTATTTTTTATTACAAAGTCAGATATACAGAGAAGAGGAGAGACAGAGAGGAAGATCTTCTGTCCGATGATTCACTCCCCAAGTGACTGCAACAGCCGATCCGAAGCCAGGATCCAGGAACTTCTTCCAGGTCTCCCACACAGGTGCAGGGTCCCAAAGCTTTGGGCTGTCCTCAACTGCTTTCCCAGGCCACAAGCAGGGAGCTGGATGGGAATTGGAGCTGCCGGGATTAGAACCGGCGCCCATATGGGATCCTGGTGCGTTCAAGGCGAGGACTTTAGCCGCTAGGCCATGCCGCCTGGCCCAGAGCTTTCATTTTCAATGAAGATTACAAATATCCTTAAGACTATGATGTGGTTATTGTGGGCTTTTTTTTTTTTTTTTGCTGCATTTTAAAAATATTTATTTTGTCTATTTAAAATACAGAGTTATAGTGACAGAAGGAGAGGAGAGAGAGAGAGAGGGCTATCTTCCATCTGCATGTTTGCTCCCTAAATGGCTGTAGCAGTTGTGGCTGGACCAGGCGGGAGCCAGGAGCCTGGAACCTCATCTGGGTCTTTCATGTAGGTAACAGGGCCCCAGGTACTAAGGCAATCTTCCTGCTTTCCCTGGTGCATTAGTAGGGAGCTTGATCAAAAGTTGAGTGTCTGAAATTGGAGTTGCATTCATATGGGATTGCTGGTGTCAGAGGCACTGATCTAATACTGACTGACTGTAAAATCAAGTGAAAAAATGATCTCCCTTTAGTTTTTATGGGGCTAGGTTAGCACAATCCTTAATATAACTTGTGTTTTATTCAAATGATTTTGCTCTAGAGACCCAGTGCATTTAAAAGTTGTGATAGTATCCTTAAAATACGCAAATCTGTGTAAAGTTGTGTTTATGTGTAAAATTCTCTTACCTGAAGTCATTGTTTTGAATGTCATTGGAAAAGAACAGCAAAAGCTTGATTTAAACTAATTGAGAATACTTTTCTAAGACATTGAATTACATAGAAATTTAATTAGGATGAAAACACTTGGTTAAGGCATCACATGCTGATAACTGGATTACCTAAGTGACCAAAACAGATAATGAAGACATTTTGATATGTATTTTAAACGGATAAAAAGTTTCAAATACATTTAATGAGTAGATTGCATAAATTAAATAGACTCAGAAAGTTAAAATTTTATTTTGTTTTTGTGGAAATAGAAATGCTCCACCAAAACACTTTCAGTTTTAGTTTTTTTCATAATATTATCCATTTCCAAATGTTATTGTAGTGGAATGCAATATTTTAAAATGAATGTTATTTGTATATGAATAGTATATTTTAACCATTGCATTATAGGTTCTCAGAATGGTCAATGTTACCATTGATTTTTATGTGTGTGTGTGTCTGTGTGTGTGTGTGAAAGAGAAGAGAAGGAAGCAACTTTACTGTGTGAAAGGTAATTAAAACTCTATTAGGAGAACTGTGAGATGGAACACTGTTTTTAGCCTCAAACTATAAAACATGCAGTCTTAATGATAGTTGCTTTTAACAGTGGCACATTGCATCCATTTTAGAACTCATTTTGTTCCTTTTCAATAATGCATTGTCTCTGAACTCAATAAGTGCATATTGACTGATATTTAAAGGGTGAATTTCATGGTATTAAACTGCCTCCTACTGTAGATATTTGTAATAAAAAAAATCCACTGGTTAACGCCGCTGATTCCCTTATATGAAACTATGTACATAATATCAAATAAGTTTCTATTATAGTTAAACATGTTTATGTATCTTCATACTGTTAACTGTTACTAATGCTTTTAGATTAATATTCAAGGATACAATTCTATTTATAAACTTGAAATATGGCTTTTTTCATCATTATATTTTGTTTCATTTTTTATCTTGACAAATTTATTATGCTTTCCAAAGTTTCGGATTGGTCTGTATTCATTCAGAAAACTGCTATTTTGCTGTGATTGTCTACTGGCATAGATAGGAGAACAAGTTTCGTTAATTAACCATGGTTGGGTCAGACAGCTGTGATTGTCTAAGATTGTTTCTGAGACTGTCAGAAAATGCGAGGCATTGTTATGAAATGTCAGGTTGACACCACTTCTTGGCAGAAGAGACAGGAACGACTATCCTTGCCTGGTATCATTTCTATATACAATTAATGAAGTGCGCCATTCACTGGCTCAGCTGACAGCATTATATCAAGTTACTTTGGAAAGTAGCTGGCCAATTTCTTGTATTTTATGCTAGTATTATAAGCATCCTTCAAATAAAGGATAAAGACTTCTACTAAAAATCATTTTTGTAATAAGCTGATTTGTGATTTCAATTCGTGAGTTTGGAAAAATCATTTTACATTCTAAAGAAACATGATTTTTCATTGCAGTTGGAACACTGAAAGAGTATTCTTTTTTACATATCATTTTCCCATCATCAATAGGGGGAAAGAAAGCCCTTAAATTGTGGAAGAAAGAGGTCGTTATAGAATATGAGGATTCAGAAATGTGTTTTTGTATAGTGGCAGTGTTTTGTGATATCAGAGATGTAAAGCTAATTTTTGTCCATTTGAAATGAGTTACAAAACCACAGTACTAGAATTTAAGAATGTTCTAGCTTAGGTCCCCAGTTTTATGATGAATTTGAATAGCATCTGTTCATAAACTTCATAATTCACCTTCTTTACAAAGTAATGTTTTCACCAAGAAAATGACATCAGTTAGGAAAATAATGCCCAATATAACATGGCTTCTATAATTGTATTCTACTTTTGCTTAGCTTTAACAAACTGCTGGAATCCAGTAGAATTTTCCCTTTGTTAAATGGTAGGATGCTATGTGCCTTTGGAGCATAGGGCTCATTCAGTTTTGGAAGGGGTTTGTCTTTTATCCCACTGACACACAGATGGCTTTTGCTGGCACTTCTGATATCCATTATCTATACTTTCCAGATAAGTACTTTGCATCTGAGTTGAAGCCTAAAATAAGAAGCCAGTGTAAAATAAATAAAACCATAAACTATACTTGAACATCATACTTCATTCCCTGGTAGATACTACCAACTTTAATAACATCCCTTACAAATGTCAAACACAATAATGGGATATTATAAAATAACATTCAGTTTCCAATTGTTTTGAAATTTACCAAACTTATACATTTTATGCTTATTGGGAGTAGTGGAAGGGATATTTGTATATTTAATCACTGAAAAAGACCAGGGAATCACAAAGATGTTGCTAGCCATTTTATTTTTAACTCAAATGTTCGAGACAAAATAAATTAAGCTTGATGGGCCTCAGCAGAACTCTGTCTACCCTTCCCCA